CTTCGTACTTTTTCCCAAATTTTCCTGTGTGTTGCACTGCTTGGCCTCTATCCATGCTACATCCCAGGGAGACGTGCCCAGATGGTATAAGTGCACCACAAGGTGCACTTTAAGGCTGTCCTAAGGACATTTTAAGATCAGGAAAGCCCTGTCGCAGTAACACACCTATTTCTCACTAACATATTCTGTGGTCCAAACTCCGATGTGAGGAGGAACATCAGAGCTTCAGTAGCAGCCACAATTTGCAGAATAAGAGCCCAATCTTGAAGATGTTCAGTGTATGGCTAGCTGGTTTTCCTGGAGTCAGTTCAACTTTGGAGATGTCAGAATTTTCCATGAATAAAAAGCAGCTAAAATTCACCCTTTTCTATTATATTGCCTGTTTCACTAAGGCTTTGTATTCGCTAGTGAATAAAAGAGGCACAAGATACAGACAGAGCACTGTTTACCCATACTTTTTAATGGACTAGCTCATTTGCACAGCTCAAAAAATGCTGTATGTGCCACAGGTAGGTGCATAGATTTGACAAGAGCAACCCTTTAATAGGAAGAGAGTTTAGGCAAGGTGAGCGAAGCCGGACAGCACCACATAGCCTTGAGATTGGAGGACATTTCCTCACATTTTGAGCTGCCCACAGGGCCCGTGAATCTATCTTTAGACTAAACCACACACTGAAGGTGTGTTAGAGAGGGCCTGCACAACACAGCGCTCCTGGAACATCCTCCTGCCCTAGGATGTCATCCTAATACACCTCATTTTGTTCAGATAGAATATTCATCTAAAAAGGGCCTGACAGGGTATCAACTTCTCATGCGTTCCTCAACAGCAAAAAGGGAGGTAGTGGAACCTTCTAGGCCCGTGGGTTGAACCCCTGACTTCAAATGCAAGCCAGCATTTTTATTTACTTGTTTGACTCCACGCTGACGTGCAGCAAGAAAAACGAAAGTGTCACGTGGGCAGGATCAAAAATGTCTTACAAATGGGTCAAAAAGAACGGGTTCTGTTCTTTTGCACTTAACTTTAGATGTCTAAAAGGAAGGTGTCTGAGCCTGAGCCAGTCACTTTAAATTCCTTTACGGACAACAGTGCCTGACAGGAGGCGTCTTCTGCCTTAAGATGAGATAAAGTTAGCGCAGTTAAAATCAAAATGAAAACTGCCTCTGTAAAAGTTATTGTGATTTTTTATTGTTTTATGCAAAGGAGAGGATTAAGTGCACCGAGCTCATACACGACTGTCAATCTCGAGCATGATTAAACTGCCAAAGCTACGCTTTCACTTGGGCAAATCCACTTACCCAATGGCCAGAGAATTACGTTCCGGCCTCTGGCCTCCTTTTTATTTCCTTTCTGCAGGTGCAACATTTAGCATTTTCTCCACAGCCAAAACCAAGCGCCTATTTTAAAGAAAAAGCCGAAAATCAACCTTTCCTTTAAAATGAAAGTCAGATAGGAGCTCTCAAAGAGCGAGCAGCAAGAGTAATTTACAGAGCTTACACAGTATAGATGGCAAGTCGTGTATTTCCAGCATCAAGAACATGGGATTAGGCAGCCTGAGTGTCCCCATCCAGGAGTCAAACAGTAGGACCCAGCAAGGCAGAAGCTGTATAGGGAGGTTGACACTGTACAGAGCAGACCAATAACAAAATTCGGAGGAGAAGGGAAAAAGCCTGTCTTCACTTTCCGAAAGCAGTTCGTTCTGAGGATCGTGGTTCCAAACTTAGGCAGAAGAATCCCATCTTTGGACCTCTACTCTTGCTTTTAGGCAAACTTCACAGTATTTTCCCCTGAAACATGTAAAATTGCCTGCGAAACCCTTCTGAAAAGATAAAGATTCAGCCTTTTGGTAAACTCAGGCAGACTTTAGTGTTGCAGAAGTGAATAGTAAGAGTGGATATTCTGTTTTGTCACTGTTTGGCAGGTCCCACGGTCGCTTCAACCTCACCATAAAGAATATAAAAAAGAGAAAAAAAAATGTACATGTACATGTATCTAAAACACCCATGCCCTGTTAGCAAAAAAAAATACAGTAGCTTCATTTGGCTTTTAAGAGCCAAAAAAGCAGGAAGGAGTCTCAAATTGAAAAGATCTACTGGCTCAGTTTTGTACTCTGGCCACCTTATCCTGTACTACATTGGTTCCTTTAAAAGATTCACCAAATAAATTTTCATTTTTGTTTTTATGTTGCATATTTACACCATTAATTGTCTCAAAGTCCCTGAGACTGCAGGACACGTAAGGAAGTAGCTGATGAATTTAACGAGTTTAAACTTTAATCCCAAAAGAGACGATTGGGGATTCTGATCTTTGGGTTTTGACCCATCCTTCTCCGTCCTTTCTCTGCAGCAATCGACCCACCGCTGCTCTCCTGCCAGACTCGTGCACCTCCGGTCTCGGCAGACATTCCAGGCATTCCAGGGAGGTTTTTATCCGCTTCCTCTTAGCGCCTGGATGAAAAGGCCCTGTTCCTGCCTGTACAACTGCTGCCTCGACTAGCTCGGGCGCTTTAAGCACTCGCTACCTCCTGTCGTCACGTTACATTTCCCAGCTCCCCTTAGCCGCAGCAGATTGTTACCCCTCCAGCTCTCTCCTTCTCTCTGCGCGGTCTCTCTCGCAGCACTGCAGAATTAAATATTTTCTGTGCCCCAGAAGAGTTGGTAACATCATCCCATAAATTCCAACTAAACCTCAGGCACTATTAGATCACAAATAATTTTTGAAGTATTTTTTCACTGTCTAGGCATCCAACTTCAGCAGAAATCTGCTAAACAAATAAGTTTAACCTGCTTAAACAGAAAATACATTCCTTTTAGCAGCCTATTCAGAAAAATAACTCACTTTTTATGAGCTATTTTTGGTTGAGAGAAAATATATTCATCCTAACAGATCTTGTTCTCTATCAGGTCACTCTCCAGTTACTTACACTTTTTTGAAGCAGGGAAAGTTATGCCTTTGAAAAGGCTCCAGCTTTATCCCAGACTCATTTAAAAGGGTTTCACAAGTCAATTGTAGGATGTAGTTCCTTGTTTTTGATTTCTCTTTCATGTATTTATCCTTTCTGCTCTTGGTATTGTCTGCTTTTCAGTAAAAATCAATATAGAAATAAAGCTAAGAAAGAGGTATTCACTGGGATTCGCTCCCTGTGCTTTTTGCTAAGTGCTTGATAAATTCTTTTAATGTATTTCACATATCAGTGGTTCTGTTTAAATCTCAAAACATAATAATTTTTCATTTCATGCATTTACATTTCCATTTTATATCATCTGCTTCCAGGCAGGTTTTGAAGATCTCCAGAGAAGGAGACTCCACAACCTCTCTGGGCAGCCTGTTCCAGGGCTCTGTCACCCCCACAGGAAAGAAGTTCTTCCTCATATGGAGGTGGAACTTCCTGTGTTTCCCATGTACCCATTGCCCCTTGTCTTGCCAGTGGCCACCACCAGGAAGAGTTTGGCCGCATCCTCCCTACATTCTCCCCTCAGGTACTCGTACATGTTGATCGGCTCTCCTCTCAGTCCTCTCTTCTCTAGGCTAAACAGTCTTTCCTCATAAGATAGATGCTCCAGTCCCTTAATCATCTTTGTCACCCTATGCTGGACCCTCCATGTCCCTCTTGTACCGGGGAGCCCAGAACTGCACACAACACTCCAGGTGCAGCCTCACCAGAGCTCAGCAGAGGGGCAGGATCCCCTTCCTCGACCTGCTGGCAACGCTCCTCCTCATGCAGACCAGGATCCCCTTGGCCTTCTTGGCCACGAGGGCACATTGTGGCCTCATGGTTAACTTCTTGTCAACCAGGACTCCCAAATCCCTCTCTGCCGAGCTGCTTTCCAGCAGGTCAACCCCAAATCTGTCCTGGTGCCTGTGGTTATTCCTCCCCAGGTGCAGGACCCAGCACTTGTCCTGC